ACAAATGAGTCATAGAAAGGGTTGACATCGGTGGTGATGAATGAGCGCCTCCAGTCGACCTGAGTGTGACATTTGGCTCCGTTTTAGCTTGAAAATGTGGACTCATAACTACAGATACACTGCATCAAAAGAAGACATAGTAACTCATTTCCCAATAAAAATACAATATCATTTTCATATTTTAGAGTTAATGTGCTACAGAGCTCAGGAACGAACAGCAGAATTGTTGTGGTTATGCATTTCTATGGACGTGGAGTAGGCCTAGATGTATTGTCTCCCCTCGTAGGAAGTAAACAACAAATCAAAGGAGCAGTGGAAGCGGCAGGGTAACTGCAGGCAAATGCATTTATTTAGCATGCTATACTGAATGTCAAAGGAAGTATTCATCATCTGTCCTATAAGCTAAATGTTGTATCGACGTTTCTAACCATATTGTACGATTTCCCTTTTTCATTCAAAGTTATTGATTCATGCATGTTTGAGAACTGTAATCTAAATTTAAATACCAGATATAATTTCTCGGACCTTCCGCAGTACATGCTCACAGTGCTTTTTCTTTTGGTGATATGGATTTATTTAATGATTTGGTGATAAATGTCCATCCCTGGTTGGGGCTTTTACACACAGTAAACGATTAAAAACAGTCGCAAACAATTAAATCGGTGCATAAAACACACGGCATAATACAATTAGATCAGAGATGGTCCCATGTCTGACCTGTCATTAAAAAGTATTTGAGGTCATGTCATGTCTTTCTCCCTTCAGTTCCTTAGATCAGTGTTTTTCAACCAGTGTGCCCTGGTACGTTAGTGTGCCTTAGGATGTTTAGTGTACTTTGGGAAATATTCCAATATCAGATAATTGGTCATAATAACGTGAACAAAAAATAATGTAAGAAGATTAGAAATATTTTTGGCGCTTTCATTTTCTACATATATACACATCTACTTTGATTAGAATAACTTTGCTTTCATGATAAAAGCTGCATGTTTGAATCAGTTTCAGCGGGTGGTGTGGCTCAAAAAGGTTGGGAAACACAGCCTTAGATAAATCGTCCAATTGTTTGATACCTTTTAAACTGAATTGTGACCAGATCTTGGGACTCTACTGTTTCCACTCTAAGCTCCTCTGGTCACTGAGCCCACTGACCTGAGAGGGACTATATACAGTCACCATGAACCTGAGGGCCCTGCAGATGCAAGCACTTCAGGTTTCAGGTCTGAGAATTTGATGTAGAATGATTCAGCAGCACAACACCTCGAGTTGCTATGGTGATCTGCAGATAGAGCGATGCTTTTGTCCTTTTCCCATCAAAGCTAAATAAGGAATTCCATCGATGAATCTTGTTTTGTATGCTCCTTACTACTAGTGTCTTGCATTGTGTCCAACATTACCCCCACTGTGGGACGACTAAAAGGTTCTCTTAAGCTCCGTCTAAATGGAACCCTCTGCCTACCTTTAATTAAGTGTAAACTCAAGACTCAATTGTACATTCTCATTCTTAGACTTCCCTTGTCTCTTCAATGTCATTGTTTTTGTCACACACATTGAGCTGCAGTGCTGTATAAATTGTGCTGAATAAATAAATGGTCTTTCTCCTCCATAGTTTATATGTTTAAATTTTAGGAGGCGAAAGCACATTGTTGTTTAATGATAAGCTTGGTAAAAATAAATTATGAAAAATGCACAAACCTGAGCTCTCTTGTCTTGGCAACATTAGGCAAGAATTGTATCTTTCAGTTTCAGAGCCATATCTGAGTTAAATCATTTCAAACGAGTAGATAATAAAATGACGTATCTACCTTGACACCCATCCCTTTAAGATCCTTGACAGCCAGAGGGGGGAAGTACTCCAGCCAGTGTTCAGCGTTGGCAAAATTGGCAATTTCCGGATCGGTTAAGCCCAAAGATCGCATGATGTCCCACTGGTACGTGGCGGTCCCAGCTTTGGCTGCAGCTTTACTCTAAACAGTGGAAAAACTAAATTATAAACTGTAACTTTCATCAGACATAGAAATGGTTGTATTCTTAGAAACCTTTTTTCCTTTGGCTTTGTCCTTGATAATAATTTCATCATTAGTCTCGGGCTTCTCCTTCAGTTCTTCTTCGTCTTCATCAGGAAACTGCGGAGGATTTCCATACAGCTCCATCTCCCGTTTGAGTTTGTCTGCACAGGCCTGACAGAGCATGCTTTCATTAGAGCTTGTATTTTTATAAACCATATAATTACATAGGTATGCATTAGAGAGCGGCCAATGTATAATTTTGTTCAGAAATATCTACAAAACAAAAATATCTAAATCCATATTAAGTAAATGTAATAACTGGTTCAAAATAAAAATCATGTAATAAGTAAACAAACCTTTTTCCAAAAAATGATCTGCTATTGGGGTGCTTAAAATGAGCATGATCCATCTATATCCATGAAATCATTATGGAATAACATCTAAAAATGCCCAAATTTCTAACTAGCAATAGCAATGACCACAATGAATTGCTGCTTGTCAAAATTTGAATGGGCTAGTCAAACTATAAATCACCATAAATCAGCATCAGTGACAGAAAACCCCTATAGTTTGATCTCTAAAAAAAATAGCAGGGTTATTTGAACAGTGAGAGCCAATAATGATTTAACAAAACTATTACAAAAAAGGTTTACAGTCATTTGTCACTCACTTTTATGGGCATCCCTGTGCAGTGCAGTCCAAATGGGAAAAGGCTGTTCTTGCCCTTCAACATCTGATATCCCACACCAAACTACAAGAAAGAATCAATTATTTGTCTCAGTCAAATCACAAGTTAGTTCAGACTTTATTGATCCACAATGGAGGAGACTTAGACACAAAAGCTCAATTAAGTATAAATCATATAGAAAGGAAAGGGAAGGTACTTATTCTTGGTTACTTTACCTCGCATTTTGACAAGCTGAAAGTGTGACCGAGATGCAATCGTCCATTCATGTAAGGGTAAGGAAAGGTAACAAAGTACTTGTTCTTGCTGAAAAAGAACAAAGATGCAAGAAACATGTTCACCGTCACTAAACAATAAAGGAACGTTTCAGTAATTATATATGTATAAGTATGGACAATGCAAAGGAAGGTTTCTCACCCATCATCTGTACTTCTTAGCAGGTTTTTTTGGGAAAACTTGCTAAGAAGTACAGATGATGGGTGAGAAACCTTCCTTTGCTTTGACTAATCCCTGTACGACAGAGCTTACAAACTTAAAATGTATGGACAATGTTTCTAAAAAAGGTAAACGCATGCAAAACATAGGTGTGATTAACGTAAAGCATACTGCAATACATAAATCACACCTGTGGTCAATTTACAAAAGGGCAAGAATATGCAAACTGGATTTGGAATACAATGACAACTTGAGAATGTTAGTGAATAAGCCCAGATGGCCAACATGTAATTGTGTTGGCAGGTATTAAGACTTTTCAGGCAGCCTTCCGTTGTCGGATTTACAGGTTATCCGTCGACTTAATGACTGCGAGAAAATTATAATTATAAGCCTGACTAACACCAATTCGGTGTCACATATACAGTGCTAGTCAGAACAGTGAAGATGTTAGCTCTGAGGAGACTTAGTTATTTATGTTTTTGTGGCCTTTTCTTTTTATCTTCACAACACTGTACTTCGTGTTTATAATACATGTTTAATGCTATTACTGAATTTTAGTCTTATTACAGAAGTTTAAATAATTATTCAAAAGGGGGGAAACTTACTTGGTGCTAGCTCCAATGGTTGCAGGGGCATCACGTTCAAAGGCTTTCTCCTTTTCCCACTTCTCCTGAATTTCAAGCTCAATCTTCCTCAAAAAATCCAACTTTGCTGTTCCTTTCCTCTCCTAAACAGCGAGGAGACAACAATCAAACTGTATACAAATGCATGGGCAGTGGATTTGACCATGTGTGATTTGACCACAAACATTATGCCTCGTCCCTAATTCTCATATTCAAGAAATGTACATGTACAGAGATTGTTCCCATTTATTAGATCAAATGAGTCACCAGAGCCCAGAACTACTTGGCCTCAGCTTCAGAAATAATCCAGACACTTATTTGTGCTCCAAAATGATTCTTAAACGGATTCAATTACATTTTCCACCGTTTATTTGTAGACGTTTTAGAGGAGAAAGCATCAGATTGAGAAGGGGTTAACGCAAAGTTTGGTGCAGTTTCCTTGACTGACAGAGACTGGACAGCTAACTTAGCACGATTAGCATAGCAGTAAGTTGTTACCGTAGAACGAAGCTGTGTTTTCTGCAACGGTAACATATCAGGCACTTAAATATGTAATAGATAAAATGAAAATACCGTCATGGTGAGCGTAGATCTTGGATATTTAGTGAACTATGACAGACAGCAGTCAGACTCAGAGAAACCCACGCCGCCGGTGTTCGGCTGACGACACACACGGTCAGAAACTCGTGATGGATACTGGGAAATGAAGTTTTTGTAAACAATTATAAATTGTATTTTCCAGCAACTAAATTAGATTTATAATTGTTTTGCTGATTGTATTATTTCAATATCCATGTATTTCGTTATTATTGACGTGTTTTGATAGCCTATGTGTTTTTGTTTCTTTACCTTCTTCCAAATTCAATAAAACATACCTCCTTGTTATTTTTTTCCCCATTTTATTGACAATGATTGCATAAATTATGACAAATGGCATTCACAAAATAGTCAAAAATATAATAAATTTAACTTGACTAAATCTGGAGCTACTTGTAATGATAAAAAGGTAACATTGAAAGCACAAGAACGCTGGGTGTTTTGCTGAATTTGGATTTTGGATTTAGCCTTTGTGTCGTGTCATGTTGCTTTTACGACTCCTGTGTTGCCATGCCGTAAAGTGCTCGGAACGAACTGCCAGTCAAGACTAGACAGCTAGGCCTTTATGCTCACACATTTGTTGATGATGAAAGCAGGATTATACACACGCACTTTCATTTTAACGTTATAGATATTGTTTTCGTGTTTCTCATCATGATCATAGAGAATGTGGACGCACTGAAGACATGGCTAGCGAAACTCCTGGAGCCAATGTAAGTGTTGAATTGAGATGACATTTAGCCTGGATGCTACATAGCTGCGCTAGCTCGCTGTGCATCAATGAGTTCGCTCAAAAATGATGGCAATTTTTTGTGCACGAGTTTTCCAGCACCCGTGGTCACCTGCACTGTACTGTAGACAGCGTTGAGCACGATTATGAAGTTTTGGCATGATTGTTTAGGTTCCCTTGAGCTATTTTGAGTATATAAACATTCACTTTGCCGAAAATAAAGTAACTTTATACAGCTCTCTAGAAATCTAAGCCACCAACTACTTGAGCTGCGGTGAAGGATTTCGTGCTGTTTATAGACTGATTAAAGTATCCACGTGTTGTTTATGACCATATGTTATCTGTGTTTGCAACATTTACTCTTGTGCATGTTTGTTTGAATGAAATTACAATATCGCTATCACATGATACTTCTCGAATTAGAAATACATTTTCAGAATTGCCTTTTGTTGATTCGAAGACTGCTTCATGCTCTGCTGATCGCACAGAACTCCTAGTTTAGTTGTTACATAAGATTATGTAGTACTAGTTAGTAGTTCAGTGTAATCTGCTTGCACGGATCCATTTAATCTACCGCACTCACATCAAAACACAAACAATGCGCACCTATTCATGTGTTGTCATCTGTAGGCGAATGTTATGTATTATATCTGTTACATCGAGAATTATCATTTTAAATTTTTTCCAAAAAGACACAACTGGAGGAAAGCGCCCTATGCTGTCTTCCATTTTAGGCTACTCAAGATTTTGATCAGTTTCCAAACAAGACTTATCCTACTGCATGTATTGGAATGGAAGAGCCTCTGTTTAATACCTTTGATTAGATTTCTAACGTGTGGTCAATGCCATTAATCCATGTGTTAATCCATGTGTTTATTCCAGATGTGATGCGGATCCTGCAGCTTTGGCAAACTATGTAGTGGCTCTTGTAAAGAAGGACAAAACGGAGAAGGAACTCAAAGCCCTCTGTGCCGACCAGCTTGAAGTTTTCCTTCAAAAAGGTTCTGTTTATTATCTTTTTATTGTTTTTTTTTACTCTGGAGATAACAATGCAACCTAGATTTTTCCTGTACACCTGTCTGACTGTTAAATGTTACCATCTAACGATATATTTGTTTGTTGTATTATCAAAGCAATCATGAAAATTAAACCAATGAAAACATGTATCAATTTTTGATTTGTCAAATGAATCAAATCTTAATACATTCTATTTAAAAAAAATGAAATATTATACGTAAAGCATTGCTGCTGGATAAGGGGACTCAGTCTTACAGCATCTATGCTACAAAACCCTATTTGTTCGTTCACATTGCAGCTAGTGTAACTTTCTGTCCTCTGCCTTAATGAGCACCTGTACCTGTTGTAGCGTTCTACCCCTCCTCCTCTAAACATTACAAAGGTGGTAACTTTATGTTTTGTGATTACAGAGACTGTGGGATTTGTTGATAAGCTATTTGAATGCCTGACAACAAAAAACTACCTTGGAAATCCACCAAAAGAAATTCCTAAAGAAGAAGTGAAGCCACCTGCTGTGAGAACTGAGCCAGTGGAGGTAAATTCAATATTTAAGGGTTATGTACACTTCTGAGCACAACTGTAACAAGTGACAGTGTGAAAACCTGCTAAAACTGTATTGAAGTTGAGCAGGCGCACCTACCTCACACACGGACAAGGAGACCATACATGACACGGGGTATTAGCTCAACCTTTTAATTACCTTAGAGCAGGGGTCACCAACCTTTTTAAAGCCGAGAGCTACCTTAAGATTACCAAATGGCTCGAGGACTGCAATATATTGTTGAATTGAAATGAATTGCACATTGCACAATTGATATATCTACTATCAGCTCTGCCACTCACCCTTCTGGGTCCAGAGGGAAAATTGTCAATATTTGGTTATCATGGTTTCATATTTTTTATCCCCCCCCCAAAAGATCGAAGCATCAGAGGAGGACAGGGAGAACAGGCGTCGAAGGAGTCCGCTGAGGAATCGCTCTGACTTCAATGACAGGTACAGCCCTCTTTTAAGCCTAGTGTATAGTCGCGCGGCGCTGAGTTTACGGTGGTGACATGACGTCCCTTGCGCATCGTGTGGATTAGAGCCCTGCACTTGAGCCCTTGGCCCAAGGGCCCCGACAGCCCGAGGGCCGGGCTTCAGGCCGATGACCGTATAATGACCTCGGACACGGGCCGGGTTCGGGCTCGCGCACTTTCAGAGCGGCAGATTTCATTTACGAACGCACCCACTGAATATAGCGTTCTATCAAGCTGTAGTGTTTGTTGTTCCGTGTAGTGTTGTCATTGACGACAAAAAGCGTTACTTACAAGTGTGTTGCGGCATCTGGGCATCATACAGCTGTGTATCACACAGCTGTGGCCGCTCACTCCGCACACACAGAAATCACTGCAACACATCACTACCATGTATAACTCCGCCCTTTAGCCAAGCCTGTGTTCATATCAGTGCGCGGCACTATATACTACGCTAAAACATTGTTATGGGAGGTAAAAAAACAAAGTCGGGCTTGATGCGGGTTGATGCTGGGGTGCCACCCCCTCGGGCCAGGGCCGGGCTCGGGCCTTGATAATAGGCCCGTGCAGGGCTCTAGTGTGGATCACCGCAAGGCCCTTACGTAGCCTGCCGCGCACCCTCGAAAACTTCTAACTACGTAAGGGTCGCTGCAAGGAAGCTCCGCTGTGATTGGTCGGTGTGTGACTACTTTCTGTGAAGCATGGAGCGGCTGCAGGGAGCATGGACGAGGCACTTCGGAGCAGACTGCTTTGTGCTTCGAAGGAACCGAAGGAAAAGCAGTTTGGGCTCGTGGCTCAGAGCCTGATATACGCGTAGACTGGACGAGAGTTCTGCTTATATAACATATATATAACTATATATAACACTTAACCCCTCTTTGCCTGAAGCCCCCACTGAAAGATCTCAGCTCCTGTGGACTCACAGGAGGACCAGTGAGGGGCTGGTGCTATGTGGACTGGGTGCAGCTCTGACTGCCACCCGACCAAGAAATGGATTAAGGGGAAGAAAATGGATGGATGGATGGAACAAATGTACAATTTATCCCCAGGCCTTGAGTCTGTTCCCATGGTGACAAACTTATTCTATAAATGAATTTGTGTTTGAATAACCAGGAGGGTGGAGGAGAGGAGACGAGATGACCGCAAACGGAGAGACTTCGATCGTCATGGGAAAAGTGGCAGCAGCAGCGACTCCCATCGAGAGCGGGAGAGACACGAGCGTCGCCGCGGCAGCCCTCGGGGGCGGAGCTACAGCCGGAGTCGGAGCCGGAGCGGCAGCAGAGGGAAGAGTCGGGACCAAGAGCACCGCAGAGGTGAGGCAGGCACACCCGCAGCAGCACCAGGAAGTACAGCACCCAGCCACTGTCAGGGGTAGACAGGAGCCACTGGCGCATTAGTTATATCAGCTGTCCCAGGGTTTTACAAATGAGGAACTATGCCTTTCGTTCTCGACATCAGTGGACATTTAACAGCTGCCCATGGAACTCCTGTTACAGACAAGGTAAGTGGAGTCTTTAGTGCTCAACCTGAAGACCCGTCCATATGGTAAAGATTTGTTCTGTTAGTATTTGAGAGACCTGCATTGATTTTGTTGACGCTTTCATCATTTTGCTTCAGGTTTTCAAGACAATATTCTGATTATTTCAATATTCATAACCTCAAAGCAAAGGAAACCGCCATTGTGAATAAGAAAAATATGCTTGGATTGTCAATGTTTGCAAGTTGTTATTTGAATAGTGTTGAATTTTTTAAAACATAATTCCCTTGCGCTCTAATAAGTAGAGATCAACCAATATACCGTACAGTTTTTTAGGTTTTTAAAATATCTGCCATTGGCCCTACCTTCTGATCTGTAGATATGTTATACATCATTTTCTTTGTTTTCGTAATTTGCAATAATATATTTTTATCTCTATCTTTACCTTTTGGCCAGGTCCGTTTCAATGTTGGCGTAACTACTCATTTTGTTCGGACAAAACGTAGCAAAAACTATGATATGGCAAATACATTTTCACTTTGTCTGCATGAGCAAAGTTGCTCAAAGCGGTCCGAGGGTCAGGTAGTTTGTGTTTCGAGATCTTTGGCGAAATTGAGGATTAAGGAGGAAATTAATTGCTTTTAAAATTGTCTTTTATTTTTATTTCTTAGATTTTAAGTCCAAGTTTGATGCCGAGCGGAAGGACTCTGAAAACTTCACTCCAGCTCCATCAGGGCCCCCTTCACAGCAGCACCCAGCCCTGCTGCCCACTCCGCCCCACCCATACTCTACCTCGAGCGGGGTGTCGGGGCCTCCGGGGATCCCTGTGAACACACCCGCTCACCTGCCTGACAGCACCACAGACAGCTGGTCCACTTTCTACAATCAGAGGCATGACCCTGGCAAACCCTTTGGCAACAAGAATGTCCCACACAAGCAGCGCTGCAGAGACTATGACGGTACATAATTTTAAGAGCATTGTTTGAGTTCATTTTGACCCTAGTCACGTTCTTTCTTGACTATAAGGCGCACCTGTATAATAATAATCCGCACCAGTGGCTGGTCCACATATAGGCGGCACTTGATTACAAGGCACAGGTTTTCATGTTGTAACGTCCTTAAACTCTACCACAAAGAATAGGGTCCTGTTTATGAACGCTTGATCCTGTCAGATTGTAGAAGCTAAGCAGTTCAGTGTCTGGTTAGTACTGTGATGGGAGACCATCACAGTACTAATGAACCTATCCGTAAAATATGCCAGTTTTAGCCACAAAGCTATTTTGAAACTATAACCCCGGATATAGTGTAGAGATTCCTTCAAATAAGTAATGCATTCAAATTAACTATTTCATTTATTGTATTCAGTACCATTTATTGTATTTAGTACTATTAAAACTACCCTTTTAGTAGTTTTGAGAGGAAAAGGATTAAAGCCATGTCTAAAACTATATTTGGGCACAACTTTCACTTTAGAACTGATTTACCTGTGGAAAATATCCAGACTTGTGCAGACGCACCTGTTGCTGCAGCAGGCTGGTGTTTTTTATGTAAATATTCTCTGCAGCAGCCGATGAAGTTACTCAGGAGAGCTGCCAACTGCTTTGTCTAATCCCAATACTAATGACCACTGTTTAGCACACCACCTCTGCTCCACTGTGCGTCTCCTCTGAGGCAGGTTAAATTTGTCCTCTGTCCCATAAGAAATCTCAGCACAACAGCTTTTAATGAGACCGTCACGGACGAGAGAATTACCATAAATTGTCATTGTATATAAATAATATTGTAGAATAAACTTGTTACTTCCTGTTGTTTGATCATGCAGATTGAAAGGTTTGTACCAGATCTTAACTGTTCTAAAATTATAAGATTCTTCTAAACCCATCAGTCAATTATTAAGAGACGAGCGTGAGTCAGTGTGACGGCAAAGCAACAATGAGTTTACCTCATTAGATCTGAGCTTCTGCTTTCTCTGACAATAAAACTCTCCATCAGATAAAAACCCAGACCATTTATAACATACACATCTGTGTTTAGAACATTTTTTGACTTGACTCATTTTACATACATCAAACAAAATGGAGCACAAGCTGTTTAAATGGCGTTGAGAATTGGAGCCACATTAAAATTCTGTTTTTGCTGTGATACGAATGCCTTTCATCACTAAGATAAATTATTGCTAATAATTAGAACAAGGATTGTAAAGGCCATGTGTAACCTAAAACCTAAAATAAACTAGGAATGAACACAAGACATGGATAATTGGCATATGTTTAACCATATTTCACTTGTCTTTTTTTCTGATTTTTACATTGGAAGTTATTGCCCCCACCCGGCCACCATTGTGTCCACCGATATACACATGTTTTAAAGCTGTTGTGATACAATCCATGCAGCTGTTATTGATCACTGCAATACGTCCTCGCAGATTATCCCAACACGAGTCAAAGTAGAGATCATAAACAATTCACTGTCTTTCAGAAAAGGGCTTCTGCGTCCGGGGCGACCTGTGCCCCTTCGACCACGGTAACGACCCGCTGGTGGTGGATGATGTGAACCTCCCCAACATGCTGCCCTTCCCCCCAGCGCCCGGCCTGCCCCCACCCCCTGGGATTCCTCCGCCCCCCATAACAGAGCCGCCTCCCCCGCTCCGGATCAACCCCATGCCCCCCTACGGCCAGCCACCTCCCCCAGGAGTCTTCCCAGGTGCGTATCAAAGAATGCAGTAACCATCAGTGTAACGAGGTGTGAACGATGTTGTTGTAGAGCTGCTAAAAATATAATTAATACTGTGTGTGTGATATTCGTAACCATGGTCAAGGCTACAATGGGAATTTGAAATGTTCTTGTGTGAGTAAAATTAAACTACGGTTCTTAAGGGAGGGAGTGGCATGAAAAACAAAAAGGTAAAATGTATCTATAGAAGGTATCTCTTAGCCAAATCATGTTTTATGTTGTAGCTCACTCAGGCTTTGAGGTTTGCGATATCTGTGATACCTGGGTCTGTATAGTAAGGTATAATATCAATAACAATAACAATATTCAATTACAATAGAAATGATATTAATAATGAACACTATCCAAACCATTTAGTCATTAGAATAGCTCAAAGATCACTCGCTCACTCATAGTCATAATTTGCAGCCTAATTATGAGCTGGTCGTTCTGTATATGCTGTGCCATTGCTTTTCCCACTTTCTTCATTTGTCCTTTTACTCGTTTACCCGACGAGCTGTTTTATGTGAACTTGAAGTGTTTTGCTGATGACCCTGAGACAATGGGCCTGGGCTTGTGTCTCTCTCTTAGGACCCCCACTGATAATCACCAGTGGGATTGACACGCCCAACCACCAATCGGCTCTCAATTCCTCTCCTCCCATTGGACCTCCTGGCGTTGGGCTGCCACCTCCTACTCTTCCTCCTCCTCCTCCCTCGTCCTCCTCAGTTTCTCTGCATCCTCAGTTTGTCCAGTCTGAATGTAAGCACCTGTTTGGATAAAGACCAGACTCTCTTCTTTTCCCTTTATTGCTTTTACTTTCACTTTTGACTTCATTAGCACCACTTTTTGTTTGAGATAATAAAGTATTGGTTGCTAGATACATTGTTATTTGTGAGCTAGTAGCTGCAGTAACCACTGGTGACCACAGGATGTCACTGTCCAACTGCAGGACTTGCATGTGATCATCTGATTTAAGGCCTCACTTTGGTGTTGGGTTTTATTTCCCTTCTCTTTATATATTGTATTGATCTTTCATGCTTCTGTCTATGTGTTCAGATAACTATGACGCAGAGGGCTATAACCCAGAGGCTCCGGGCCTAACGGGGATGGGTCGAAACGCCCCTTTTCGCCACTTCATTCCTCGAGTTCAATCACAGCGGTCCAATCTCATCGGGTTGACGTCCAATGAGGGCCAGGGCAACAGAGGTACCACACAACCACCGTATATGTAAACAGAGAAATTAAAATTACACGATTGTTTAATCTAAATTCTATTTTAATCCAAACAGCTGCAAACATAGTGGTCCATATAGAGCCCTCCACCGGGAGCAACGCTTCAGTGTCTAACCGCTCCTGCTCCGAACAGGACATCAGGAAGAGGAGCATCGAGACTGGTTCAACAGATGGTCCTCAGGTCAAGAAACCCTGGATGGACAAGTAAGGCCAATACATCCACTTGAAAATAAAACCCTACATGGAAAAACAAAAAACACTTTACTTGAAATATATATATATATATATATATATATATATATATATATATATATATAAAAATAAAAAAAATTGCGTTATTTCAATCAAAACATCAACATTAACTGCTGGGTTATTGCTGGTAAATGTAATCATCACTTTATATTGTCCTAATGAAAGCAGAGCTGAGAGATATAGCGAAATTTCTCATGGATTTTATTGCCCCTTTTAGGAACAAGAAAGATTTTTTTAAACTATTTTAATCTATGTCCCAAAAGACCAGTGTTTCATAAAGGCTGAATGACCTTGGATGTTTGATCCAATATGTGCTCTTTTCTGTTGTTAATGTTTACACATGCGTTGCACAAGTTGGCTAAAGTACAGAGCCCCCCTGAGTAAAGTAGAGGCAAACCTGGTATGAAATTAAGGTCTGGAAATGATTACTGTGTCATAAAAAAGAAAAAAAGTTGACTAATTTCCCTGGCCTACTGCTTAGTCTAGATTAACATTAAGATAATTTGTTTTTGGCTATTTTGTTTTGGACACTACTTTTGAACAATGAATTTTTTTTCCAAACCATGAATTCTGTTTGCACTAACATTCAGTTTGTAATATGTCTTTCGCGACAACATCAACTCAAATGTATTTAAAGAAACACTACAACAACTTCTGTTTTGGTTGCAAAAGTAATCTACCCAGAAAGTACATTGAACCCTGTAGTTTTCAAGAGAACAAACTCGTCTACAATTTCATTTAGCGCGATCGCCTTTCAACACTCTCGCCTCATTGGGTACTTTCAAAGTGTTGCGCTTCTGGCACCTGCTCCACTTCCACCTGCACTGAAGGAGCCTTGTTTCAGTCCAAGGTGACTCATAGTTCAGAGGTTATCCTTTTAGTCTGAGACACAGGTGCAACATAATGCCATTGAGTTGCAACCGCTTTAACACGGCGCCAGGTTTACAGTCTCAGTGCAGCCTATGATCTGATATTGCAGGTTGAATTAGAGTTTCTGTTGTATGTGAGAATATCTTTATTTTCCAAAAGTTAAAATTTTTGAGAAATTCTATTAATGATGTTCTGTGATCCCTTGTTTATCACGGTTGTTACGTTTTAAGAATAACCTGCAATAAGTAGTGGCTTTGTTTCAAGGCTGTAGGGTCAGAGAAAATACACAATGGAGAACATTTGGCATGAATAGAATCACACAGGTTGTGCAAAAAGACAGGAAGTAGTTAAAATATAGTCTCTTTTGTGCCAAACCCCTCCCCACACAATTCATACACTGTTCTAACCACCTGAACTCACGACTGCTGATGTGCGATTGCAGATATGTCTAACCCGTTGTTGTAAGGTCTGAGCGCTGCTGCAACCGTCAAAAGCCATGCACACACGTTAAATACAGCCTTCTGACTTTAAATAGCGGTAACATGTTTTGCTAGCAATTTATATGATGTAAAACAAAGAGGCAGCGCGATAGTGGACCACTGTGCAGCCAGGGCTCTCACATGTATGGCCTGTTTCTAATCGCTTTTGCTTCTATTGTATTTCTAGACCCGGTTTCAATAACCAACACAAAGGCCCCTTTCCAAAGAGGAACCATTACGTCAACACTAAACTTGAGGTGCGAAGAGTCCCTCGAGAGCTCAACAACATCACCAAACTCAACGAGCACTTCAGCAAGTTTGGCACCATCGTCAACATCCAGGTAAAGGAGAAAAACCATGTTTATGAACTTACTATGATGGTTTAACACAAGGACACCAGGAATTCTGAAACTCCTAGAACTCCAAGAGCATTTTGACGGATTCCATTCAAAGTAATAATGTTTTAAAATGTAGTAGTTCATATAGTTTATACCAGGGGTCACCAACCTTTTTGAAACCAAGAGCTACTTCTCGGGTGCTGATTAATGCGAAGGGCTACCAGTTTGTTACACACTTACATAAATTACCAGAAATAGCCAATTAGCTCAATTTACCTTTAACTCTGTTATTATTGATAATAAATTTTTATTAATCTTTGTGGAAACACTGATAATCTTAATGTTTTCTCACAATAAATATATATAGAAACAGATATATATCAATATGCAACACTTTATTTCTATATTTAAGTACACATTTTTCAAGTTGAAAATTTTCAAAGAGTCACTTCTAAGACAGTCTTGTGAAATCACAATATCCCATTTTAACTAGCTAGCCACTAAAAATTTTAACAAATCATGAATTGCTTTGCACCATGTTTGTACAAATTATAACTTATGTAAAATACAAAAGTCAACTCTCAAATTTTTAAATAAATCATGTCACACGTGATGGCGATCTCACAGGAGTTTAGAAACCAGAGCGGTCCCATTTGTGCTGCTACTTTCTCCTCTTCAGAACATAAATGAGTTGAAACTCATTGTTTCAACTCATTTAACTGTGATGCTGTTAATAAAGACACAGTTCTTCTTGGAAACATAATTATTATTAAAGTGTGTTCAGCACAAACGGCAAAACAATAAATGGTAAATATCTGAGACAAACATGAACGTTTTACGAGTGCAGGAGGAATGAAACAGACGGAGCTACGATTCAAACAAGACAGGAACAGTGCAAAAGAATTGACTGTACAGTTTATAAGTTAGATATGCAACATAACTCTAATCCACAGTCTCCGCGTATATCACGCTCTGTCATGAGCCCAAACTACTTTTCCTTCGGTTCCTTCGAAGCACGAAGTAGTCTGCTCCGAGTGCCTCGTCCATGCTCCTGCAGCCGCTTCATGCTTCCCAGAAAGTAGTCACACACGAACCAATCACAGCAGAGCTTCTCTCACACACGGACCAATCACAGTGGAGCTTGTCTGCGGCGGCGGCCGCGTAGTATTCGAGGGTGCGCGGCAGGCTACGTAAGGGCCTTGCGGTGATCCACGCGTTGCACAAGTGACGTCACGTCACCACCGTAAGCTCCACTCCGCGCGACTATGCACTAGGCTTGAGTGCTTCTATTTGAGCTATTTTTAGAACAGGCCAGCGGGCGACTCATCTGGTCCTTACGGGCAACCTGGTGCCCGCGGGCACCACGTTGGTGACCCCTGGTTTATACCTTTTGATAAATGCTAAAGCTGCTGAATGTAACTGAAACTCAGCAGAACTAAATACTAACTGCTGCAAGTAAAGGGTGTGTTGCTATGGTAACCAAGCACTTTCTCTAAGCTGAGATTGCTCACAACAGTGTTGTGCGTGAACGAGTTCAAAAGAACGCGTTCATTGAACACGCTCATTTTTTTGTGAACGTTGAACTGAACGCAACACCCATCCATCCATCCATTTTCTACCCTTTAATCCATTTCTGGGTCAGGGGGGTGGCAGTCAGAGATGCCACCCAAGTCTCATAGCACCAGCCCCTCACTGACCCTCTGCAGGTGGTGAGTCCACAGGAGGACGGCTGCTCTCTGAGTGTGAGCATAGCCTTGATCTTTCAGTGGGGGCTTTGGGAAAAGTGGGGTTAAGTGTCTTGATGTTAATGAACGCAACACATTTTTAAAAAAATAACTTGAACGTGAATTAGTTCATTTTATGTGTCATGAACGGCAGACATCACTATGAACGTTGGAATCTGTTTTCTCTTTTGAAACGCAACGAGAGAAAGTTCCTCCCTCCTGTATTCTTGCACTTTTTCCGCCGAAATCTAAAAATTCCTACGGTTTCCACCGTCTGTGAACGCACCCCGACTCCGTGTTGCGGTGCGGCGCTGTGAGCTGGTGCTTTTCACATGTGCCCAAGTCATGATAAAAACACAGGGTGAGTTAGCGACAAAGTTTACACCGTTTACATTTGACATAAAGTATAGACACACGCACTGCAGCGCATTACTGTCTGTAGTTTATGAGCAGAGATGGAGCAACTCCGTTTTGCTCCCATTGAAAACCATGTAAATCTGGTCTGTTTTGTAGTCAAAAGGCTCTCCTCCTGTGGGTGTACAGGAGATATATATATATATATATTATAGCTCGTAGTGTGAAAAAAATATTTAAGTATCTCACGAATAAAGTAAAATGAACTGAACTTTGAACTAGTTCAGAATTAAAAATGTGAACTTTGAACGTGAACTGTTCACTTTGAGCATGTATGAACTGAACTTGAACTAGTTCAGAAAAGCTGTGAACTGGCACAACACTGGCTCACAAACATGGCAACAAGCATAGAATCAGTCTTGGATCGAACATAATTACATTGAAATAAACTACATATAGAATCATAAAAAGTCACAAAGTTATGAAGACCAAAGACGTACATAATTGGAGTAATAACATTTCCTAAAAGAAAAGTCGTCAAATTGACTGCTCTGTGAGTTTTAGTGTTAGTCAGTAATGGCCTCAATCCCTCATGCTGCATCCTGGTTCCCAACAGGTTGTCTTCAGCGGCGACCCGGAGGCGGCGCTCATCCAGTACACCAAGAATGAGGAGGCGCGGCGGGCCATCTCCAGCACAGAGGCCGTCCTCAACAACCGCTTCATCAGGGTCTACTGGCACCGAGAGCCCGGGGCCAGTGTCACCGGGGCCCCAGCACAGGAGCAGACTGCAGGGCTCCAAACCGTGGGACCACATCCCAACCACGGATCCCAGCACCCGAATGTGCACAAGGTCTTTATACTCTCGCAGTTATATTACAGCAAGAGAGGATGGTCGGCCATTTTGATGTGTGGATTGTTGTTTCCTACGGCTCAACACAGAATATACTACAATTATTAGATGTACTTAATGCCTCGAGGCGATGCTAGAATCTTATGCCAAATTTTCTTTTTGCATTTTAACACTGGTCACTTTACAACACGGTCACAACAATTGGTCATGAAACATTTATGATACAATATTAAAATAAAAATGGTAATGATAGGTTTATCAGAAAAAACTATTTTTGAAGCGAGGGTTTTGAGGCGATACTTAAAGAGGTGGTCTGTCTGGGGTTAGTGGGGGGGCTGTTGAGCATGTTTGAGAGCAAGGAGTGTAAGTGGAACTAAATTGATGTATTATCCTGTCTTTGCAGTTCAAACATCATGTTCCCAGTCCTTGTTTTTCTAAATACTATTTGGCTTTTCATACATAGTGCGAGATGCATTTGAAAATCCTCTAGTATTTTGCTTAAATTGACCTTTTTTTTAAATACTGTATTATTACGAGCCCATAACTCTCTTCCCCCGGACATATTTTTTGTGTTTGTTATGTTGTCTACAGGGGATTAAGCAGCACAACGCAGCCGCCTACGTTTTGAACAAGACTGTTCCAAAACCGCGGCCTCAGGCGACTCCCGGGACGTCCGGAGTGATCCCAGCGGACGGCTCCAGCGCAGACACAGTTACTGTACGTCTACCTCTCACTATTATCTGAGTCTTTACTTTAATAACATAATAGATATTAGATAATAAGCTGTATCGCAACATACCCCTTTCAGGCAGCTTCACAAATGATTCAGAAACGTAACCATATATGCTGAAAAAATTGAGGCATCTCATTTTTACCAAATCTTCTGAGCGCTAATACATGGATATGCAGTGTAATGATATATTTTGCCTGCAAGTGTTTACAAGTTGCAAGATGCACTTGGAACTTGTAAAATTTGAATATTTAAATGCAAAGTGACATATGCCAATGTTGATGATTGTGGCTTACTATATATATATTTATTCATTTGGTTTTTTTTGGGGTTTTTTACAACCTATGTGCCCCACTTGTCACCATCACAAATTAAGTCTTGACATATCTCACTTTGCATGCAACTTTTGGACGATATCCTAATCGAGTTTCACCCTAGTTCATAATATGTTGTTTTGGCTTGCATAATGGGCCACTGCTCTGTCCTCTGTAGGCAGCAGCTGGCCTCTCAAACTCTCAGAAGTCGCTCTTCGCTGCGACGTCTCTCAAGTCCTCCAAGAGTCTGGGGAGAACGGGCAAAGCACTCATCGCACAAGAAGCTCTCAAGCAGAAGCAGGCAAGAACTTTTTTGTGCCAACACTTAAAACTTGTTTTTTAATCTCGGACATCATTATTATTTATTTTCCCTTTCTGCTTTTCTTTTAGGAGGCATTAAAACTTCAGCAGGATATGCGGAAGAAGAAGCAGGAAATGCTGCAGGCACAAATTGAGTGCCAAAAAGTGAGTGATTTCCTGAAAAATGACTGTTAGGTTTTGGAAATCGTTTTGTTGTTGTTATCATTTATGTGATGTGGTGTTTGTCCAGGCCTTAATAAACCGTCTGGAGAAAAACCGAGGGATGAAGCCAGAAGAGAGGGCAAACATCATGAAGACGCTGAAGGAGCTGACTGATAAAATCTCCCAGCTGCAGAATGACTTGAACCCCGCTGCTCAGGTCACGAGTGCCAAAGCCAACCACAACCAGCCCAAGATAAAAAGCAATGTAAGTCTCGAGACTGCGTTCAAGTAACTACCTATGACTCAAACTGACTTGCAGAAAACAAATGATTAAATGGTAATGTTTCCAGCCTTTGAAGTTCTTTGGGCTGATTAATTGATAGAAAAAAGGCTTTGTTTCCGATGTTGTTGCCTCAAATTAATTGTTTATTTTACTCAAATACTTAATACTGAGTGAAGCTCATCAAACTCCTGTACTTTTTCACAGAGTTGTTTCTGCGTTGTGCCAACCCAGCCATGAAGGAAACACTCTGATTTGGAATCTCAAACTGTAACTAAAATATGTGAGGAAAAGTGGGATTCGTATTTACGAATCCCACTTTTCTCGACAATTTGTTGTTGCACTTAACAACGTCAAATCAATGAATGGATTGCTCGATTAATCAAAGGTTGTTGCTAGAATACTCAATTTACTAAAACAATGCTTAGCAGCAGCCGTTTAGTGAACTACTTTTAAGAAATGATATGAATTGTTGGAATTTCACTGTATAGATTCACCTGTGTCCACATTTTAAACAACTTATAGGAATTTTGGATTTTATAGAGTCAATTTTTGTATTACACTAACTGCTTTTGTTCTCTGTAGGTCTAAGGTCTTGTTATTTACACAAACTCAATGTTGTGTTAAGACTTTTCTAAACTGTGATAAACTATGCAATCCCACAATATAGGTTTCTGGCTTCCTTCCAACCTTTTTGGTTTCTTTATTGGGGGAAAAAAACATATTTCTGATTACTTTTTTCACACGCTCGTTTTGTTTGCATGCGTCTGCAAGGATTGCAACATTGTGTAGTGGCTGCGAGGATGGTACTTTCAGGGCCCAGTATGAGTCATGACCCAACTGTTTATTTTTATCAATTTGAACGACGCATCTGTTCTACAACACAGGTTTTAGAATTACTCCTAGGATTAGAAGTGAGAGATGGTGTTTTCAAACAATCTTAAATGTAAAAACGTTAAGGTGATAAGTCAAACAATTGTGCAGATTCCAGCATTGGTCAAAATGTAAAATGACAAGAAAGCTAGCCACAAAAGTACAGAAATCCTTTTCTAAACATATATAAAATGACTTGCGAGTGTCTGTGCGTGTGTTATGTTACGACCACAAACAGACAGACAACTCTAAAATGAAATCCAAACGATGCATTTGCCTGTATTCTGCTGCTGTGCATGTTTAGTATTGTCTTGTGTATTTGTGCCCAGGCCCAAAAGGAGCTGCTGGACGCTGAGCTCGACTTTCATAAGAAGTTGAGCTCTGGAGAGGACACCACCGACCTCAAGAGGAAACTGGGACAACTGCAAGTGGAGGTACCTCATACTGCCGCACAAACGGATTGACGCACTCACGTACACACTAAAAACACCTAAGATGTAATTTTTCCGTCCTGAAAAAGGTAAATGTAATTGTACCACCTTGACATTGCAAAAACAAAGGTACTCTCTGTAAATGTATTTTATTTTCTCAAGCAAAATGCCATTCTTTACCATCGCATTTCTGTGTTTGCAGCCAGTAATTTTACAATTTTTATAAAAAGAAACAAATTCAACACTTCCCTCTGGTGGTGGCACAGAGAGTTAGGGGCGGAAACCATTTAGCCTTCATGCATGTCTCAGCTGATATTTCAACTTTGAGATTATTCTGACTTAATTTTGCCCATTGAATACAATAATAATTAAAACAGTGGAGCTGTACCGTGTGGCAGTGGTCTGAAAGCCCAGTAGGAGCAATAGTGAAAACAACATAATCAAGAAAAGCACTTGTGGCGCACAGATCCAGACCATGATTTGGATCAATCCTAAATTGGTCATTGTTTTAGCAAGCTTTAAAATGCAGTGGTTTGGAAATGGCATGAAAGTAAAAATGTCATAAACACCAAAATTATTAAACTATTGTTGGTGGAACATTGTAGAAATCCAGAACAAAAACTCAAGCAGCGGCAGGTGGTGGTCGCTAAACCAAAAGAGCCTTTAAAGCAAACAATGTTGAACTTCTTATGATTATTATATTATAAGAATATCAATATATATTTTTACAACATAAACATAAACATTTTGAAGCCTATTGAAGTTATTTTTTTCACCATGTTCAAGTGAAAATGGAATAAGCAAAGTAAAAATGAAATGCCATACAAGGTCATCATCAGTGTCAAAGAGCAGTCTGAACCCCTCCTCTCATATGTTCTTTTCTCTCCTCCCTCTGGGTCTTAAATTAGTGCCATATTAAAAATGCATGCGGTCCTCGTTGTCCCTGGCCAACCCGCCTTCTCCGCATTAAACTTCAGCCACTTAAGAAAGCCCAGAGGAGCCGGCAACGAATCCAAATCAGCCTCTCACTGATGAGCACTGTCTCATTAAAGTTTGAGCTGTTGGTTCTGCTTAAAACTGTACAGCGACAATTAGACACCAGTGAGAGACGTCTGGTCAAAGAGCAGGTATGGAAAGTATAGGGCTGTAACAAGGTCAATCTATTGATTCATGAAACTTGTATTTGTAGGGTATCTTTCCCATACAAGGCAACACAAAGCGCCTCACAACCCGTAACACATCAAGCATAAATCACCAACAATATAAATCTGCATATACATTAAAAATATGGTTAAAAACAAACATTAAGATTACAGGAAATATTAAAAATAGACAATAAAATCTTGCAAGTAATTAAAAACCTTAGAACCTATTGATCACAATTAATCAATACATTGGATGAATCGTCAATTAAATTAGTCTTCAACATTGTCTGGATTATGCTTGGACTTCAAAAGATGTCATGGGCAATGAAAAGAAGCTTTATGGCTGAGATAATGTGAGAATTGTAAAGAAATGACTCCAAACGCTGCTTTGTACCTGCTCTGTGACACCGGAGAGGGACTTCCACCAGAGAGGGACGACACGCTTCTTAAAACACACTTAATAAGTCAAAGGAAGTTTTATGGGAAGCACATGGGTAGAGCTGTATCCACTTTGTATTTTATATGTAAAGTTTTTCTCATGGACCTAACGACAGGAAAGAATGAACTGTTTTCAATTGAATTTCACGGTCTATACATACTTGTGTTTTCATGATTTTTTTGTTTATTTATTTAGTTATAACCAAATAAAACAGGAGAGCATACCGCGCCAACATAGTCGCAACATTTTAGTGGGATAAAACTCTTTTTGTTTTTTTTTTGTTGTTGTTGCAAAATCAATACTTTTAAACTGTTATTAGCCTATCATAAACTCTTATCAATTGACAAAGTTCATATTGTCAGGTAAAACTATTATCCCTGCAAATTATTGCGTTATTGAGTTTTTACAGTAGTTGAGAGACATTAATTTGTTCAAATGTTTAAAAAAAAAATAACAAATATGCTGAAGCCCATGTGTTGTGTTGCCTAGGCGACACGGTTAGGCCTGATCCGCTCTCCGTCTGGCCGGGGACGGGGCAGAGGGAAGATGGCCGATCACGGTGCGGGACACGTGGGACGAGGCCGAGGGCGCAGAGACAGTCTGAGCCGAGGGGGGATCATCAACCGCATGGTGGTGGATCACAGGCCCAGAGCTCTGGCCATCCTCGGGGTCACACAGGAGGAGAAGGAGGAACTCATGCCTCACTTTGTGGTAAGGAGGCTCCACTTTTCAACAGCGTCTTACTTGCGTTTTCTCAAATGCATATCATTAATGTCTTCATGTCTGTACTGAAAAATATGAAAACCCTATCATTTTTTTTCTTTTCTCTACAGCTGAATTGTGCCTAGTTAAAGGCACAGTTAAAAGCGTTAATAACGGCGTTAACGCAAACCTATTTTAACTGCGTCAAATTTGATATGACTCACACGTAACAGGGTATTCCGTCGTCATAAATACTTGATATATTTTGGGATGAGGATGGCCTGGCCGCGCGGCTCGGTGTGCGGCGCGTCTGTGTGTGTCGCGCATGCCCAAACTTTGAAGCTGTATGTTTTTATTCAAGTCAGAGGTTTTTGTTAACGACGTATATGACAGTCTATTTAATTTCATTTAGTACTGAGTTATTGTTGATTTATCTTATGCTGTGTGCTCTTCATTCCGACTTTTTCTATAACTGGTGATTCAACTTCCCCCACTGTGGGACAAATAAAGGATCTCTCTAAACTTAAATTCTTAAAATGTTCTACTATACTAAATAATTCTGTACATTGTAAAAGGCAATAACAAAAGTATGCAGAGATTGATGTTCCTATATTGGTAGTATCTAAAATTATGACAGTTGCTCAGATTATTTTTTTTTTTTTTTATTCATAGAAATTTGGGGAGATTGAGGATCTGCGAGACCACGATGCCAGCAGTGTGGTAATGACCTTCAAGACGAGGAGCGAAGCTGAAAATGTACGTCTCAAAAACCTCCGCTCGCATAGCAATATTCTGAAATCCTTCAATCCTTTTTTCTCACACATTGTTGAATTCACAGGCGGCGAACCAAGGGGCCAAGTTCAAAGGGCGCGTGCTTCAGATTTCCTGGTACAAACCCAAGACGCCGTCTGTCACCACGGAGCCCGAGGAGGAGGAGACCAAAGAGGAGGACAGCTCAGTATGTGACATCAACTCTCTAATATCCCACTTCCACTGGTGCTGGTTTAGAGCTGGATTAGAGGTGGTTTCAAAACTGGTTCTGGCCTGGTTCTAGGCTGAACCTGTTTGGTGTTCTACAAAAGATTAGTGCTCCTAACCTAGCAACACACTGTTTACTAGCCAGCAGTTAGCATTTGTTAGCTTTTCAACCAACAGCTTTTGCCAATTTTCAGTTTAGATTATCAATCACTTACCACTACAACCACACGTTTGTTTGAATGGAAGCCAATACATAAATGAGTAGTCATACGTAATACACAACTCCAGCAGGTGGATTGCATCAGTAACCAGTGCATAGGAGCTACATGTGATGTTGTAATTGGAACAACTCGATTAGACCACGAACCCTACCTGAAATAACTGACTTTTTGATTTGTAAAAGGTCCATCCACCACATTACCACATAATTTTAATGATTTTACAAAAATATTAAGCCAGAAAAGGGGGAGGGATGTTTGCTCATTGCCAAAAAAATGAATGCTGAGATACTAGAAATTGATTTATCACACAAATTATTATGATTTTTCTCATGTTTCCGGTCAGTCTATTATCACTGACGCATACTTCAGATCAGGGGGTATTCAACTTGGTCCTCAAAGGGCCAGTGTGGCTGCAGGTTTTCATTCCAACCGAGCTGCAGCCCACCAGACTGCACCCATGCTCCACAAGTCTTCAGGTTAAGTCCGGAATCACTTGAAAATGGCTGGAGTCTGGTGCGCTCCTGCTTGGTTGGAATGAAAATCCTGCACTCTGCTTTTTTTGTGGACAGAGTTGAATGCCCCTGCTATAGATTGTAAACGGTCGGTTGAAATCCCCGTCCAAAGATTCAACTTTTATGAGCTTTTTTTTTGAGCGATAAGGCCGCTTTTAAATGCCTCTAATGTGGTTACGTGGGTCAAAAAGGGAGATCTCCGCTTTGAAAGATCGCAATCGGTGACGCTCTTTCTCACTTATCTGATTCATTTTTTTACCATTATTTTTCTTTTTTGCCTCTCAACAGAAGGAGAGCGGTTCGTATCTGGCGGAGGAGGAGGAAGAGGAGGAGGATGACGACGAAGATGACGAATACGAGAGCAGATCTTGGAGGCGATAGTGTCTGGGGGGGGGCGGGGCGGGGCAGAGAGGAGAAGGCTTTGTTTTCAGTATTTTTGAAGTGATATTTCAGGCCGCGGCGAGAGCGTCAAAAGACCGAGACGAAACCGATAACGAGATCTCACTTTTGTTTGAGAAGTAAAGCTGTGGTCATAGATGCAGTACGCTCCAGTGTGCTTACCAGTAATGCACAACATTTGTGTCTACTGTGAATAGGTATTTTTATACATACACTGTATTTAAACGCCATTTTTGAAGAATACCTTTTTTATTTCTCGTCCTGAGTTTTAGGGACACGCCCATTCCATCACAAATTCAAATGAGAAGAGTTTTTATTTTTCCACAAGTGCACAGCGCCGCACCAGTCGGAAGGGTTCGGCCACTAAAAACAAAAACAAACATATTTTCTCCATTTCACCGTTTAGCTTGTCGTTTTTATTTGGCCAAAATTGCATGCGCCCCTTCCAATACTCTCCCATGAAGCTGCAGGTACAGAAGGATCCCAGTGCAATAGACCCGTTTCAATACGTTTCTTTAGGAAGCATTCATTTCCCGTCGCTGTGGCTCTCGGCGCATCAGAATATTGTGGCAAAGTCGGTGGGTTTTCTGCGGCAGACATGGGTTCATGAAGGGAACAGTGAAACGTTTCAAGAATGTATTTTATTTGCAGAAACCCTTGCACCACTGTTGTTAGCACCTCACATTAACACCACACTTGTTTGATTCGGTTTAAGCCAATCTGGAACTTGTGTCAGATGTTGAATATGATGTACCTCACATTTCAGGGGGAAAAAACTACTGATGATCATCGCTTTCCACAATAGTCTAGTGCCGAGAGCGTGTGCCACTCTCTTGTAATCTTGTTTTCTAGACTCTGAAAGCCTGATAGGACAAGGGCAGAAGACGAGGGGTTGAATGTAATTGTGGATTTTAATATATATACACATATATAATTTTGCCTTACAATCAGCGAACTGCTGAGTTTTTACAAGAGTTGACACTTACTTTTGTACATTTTGTAAATGCTAGAGTAATACGGTTGTATCTTTTGGTTGTGTTAAATGACAGACGGTGGAACTACAAACGCAAGAGTGTCTCTGCTTATTTGAATTGACGGCTCCTGATTTGTGTTGACAGTGTAAGACATAGGACATTAACATTGTACGTGCGCTTTTGAAATCAGAATACTGTGGAAAGGATTTTTACTTGGATTCAGTGCAACGTTTTGTTCGCTCACATCACGGAGACTTCTGGATTGTTACGGCTTCATAGTCTAACACCACGACCAAATTCTTTTATTGCAATTCTCTAAATTTAACCAAAAACTCTGCAGGAAGGGGAATTGTTGAAACCCAAATCTTGCTCATTCTATCCATTAAAAAAAAACAGTATTGGCCAAATCCACAGGACCTAGGCTTCGTAAAGAGTGCTCTCAAACCTTTTTGAAATGTATTTTTATAATTTTGCTTAGCCCTAAATCACAACAGCAATCGACTCTGAGGTCTATACAAAGATCTCAATTCGCCGACTACAGATCAGTAAATCAAACACTTCTCGCTCCTACGTTTGTGCAATACAGTTTTGTTCACAAACTGTTTCGGCTTCATAGATTCTAAACACCAGTCCCATCGTTCTAATACATTTGTTTCTCTAAATTGAACCAACGAACCCTCAGGATATTGAGCAACATCACAACCATCAGACTTTCCACATTATTCTCATGTATCCGGCTTCAGCATGCGCACTCTTCTTTATATATATATAAATGTATTTCCTTCTGACGTCTCTTTACCGTGTCTGGCAAGCTTGTGTCCCAGGGTTAGGAACAATACCACCTCAACATAATCAAAGGGGAACGCAAAACATAAGTCTGTCTCCCTCTTTTAGTGGAATATTTGTCATGATTTTGCTTTTTTTTTTTTGGCGAGACACGGACAGCACCAAATACTTCTCCTCCATGTCGACTGAAACTCTGCATAGCATCTCTTAGTATTTTGATTTTGTGATTATAACATCACAGACTGATTTTATGTAACATACGCAGGCAGGGCTCTTGTCTGAAACGATACAAAGTCTTGGATTCACTTTTTGTAAACACCGTGTGCTACTATCGGGATGGTGTAAAAATGTGTAATATGTTTATTGGATCATAGTTTTTTGGATATGTTACTGTTTATATTTGCAAGATGTGGATGTATTTTCTTTATGTATTTTGTTTGTAAAAATGGATTTCTAATTTACTAGCATGGTTGCATTGGGCAATAAAGAGGGAGGAATGGGATGCTTGAAAGACAAAAGGAAAAAAACATTCAAAAGATTAAAAAAAGATTGTTGATTGGCTCAAAGGAAAATATACACGGAAAAATATTTTACATTTTGACATTTAAATGAAAAGAAAAAGGCAAGCCAAAGCATTCCTGATAACATGACTCTTAACTCTGTGTGGTGTCCGTCATTTCTTCACGTTTTTGAAAGTCGTGGCTGGATCCTAGACTCTAGAATGCACTGACCCCATTTGGTTTTTTATGCATAAAATGTAAAAAAATGAGTGAGCAATACTACATTGACTGGCTGTGTAGATAAATAGTTTTTGTGAACACATAGGCAAGGCAGGTTTATTTGTATGGCGCAATTCATACACAAGGCATCTCAAAGGGCTGAACAAAACAAGATAGAACCAGTCACATAAGAATGTCAATGTTACAGCTACAACACCAGCTGCTCAAAGGGCTTCACAGGCACGAAAGTTTTTTTATTTTATTTTTTTAAGACAGCATAAAATACATATATATTTAGAAAGTACATGTGTTTTTGTTTTTTTTAATAAGGACAATAACATCTACATAAGGAAAAAATTCCCTCTAACATATGAAGCAAATGTTTAATCCCATGTTACCCCCTGATGAAATTGGCTTTATTTCAACTTTGAAGAGACATCTGTAAGTCAGAGCTGTACTCACTGATCCTCCTGCAGGTGGTGAGACACAGGAGCTGAGATCTTTCAGTGGGAGCTTCAGGCAAAGTAGGGTTAAGTGTCTTGCCCAAGGACACAACGACTGCAGATATCAGTGGGAGTCGTGGAGAAGGTCTTTCGGTGGGCTCACAACCCACAACCTTCAGGCTCCAAAAATACCTTAAATCATTTTTTTTTTAAGCTGAAATTTTCTTTGTCAGACTTGACCAGCCCTGCATCATTTAGAGCTGAATTTGGGGTATTTTTCTTCTATTTTTGATTATTTGTCGTGGGTCATTTTGACAAGGGTTAACCAGGAAAGTCTCACTGAGTCCTGACCCGAACAGGAGGGGGTTATGGGGGACTATTTTACATGTTTTTTGTAGTCTGGGAACGGAAAATTCCTGGAGATGGACTCGAACGCAGGACATTCTATGATTCTACAGCTTTGGGCTAGGAAATCTTTTTTTTTAAGTCTATTCAATTTATTTGTGTATAGCCCTAAATCTCAGTCAACTTAGAGGACAGAAATCTGAATTAAAACATACACAAAGACTCATACACAAGTCTAACGTTGTATTAGGTCATATCAGTAACTTACTTTCTCAATGAACAAAACTCAATTATTATTAAAGATGGGGAACCCATCCATCCATCCATTTTCTACCCTTTAATCCATTTCTGGGTCAGGGGGGTGGCAATCAGAGATGCCACCCAAGTCTCATAGCACCAGCCCCTCACTGACCCTCTGCAGGTGGTGAGTCCACAGGAGGACGGCTGCTCTCTGAGTGTGAGCATAGCCTTGATCTTTCAGTGGGGGCTTTGGGCAAAGTGGGGTTAAGTGTCTTGCCCAAGGACACAACGACAGCAGTCATCAGTGGGAGTCGGTGGAGAAGGTGCAGAGGTGGGAATTGAACCCATGACCTTCTGGCCTGAAGGCCTACCCCAGATGGGGTACCTTACTTTGAAATTATACAAGACATTAACTATGTAATAACATCCATATTTCCTAGATTTCAAAACAGTTTGGTTCAATCACTAGTTTTCGTGTACAAGCATGGCCTCTGTCACATCTTAAAGAGCAACTAAACACCAAATCAACTTTTTTTTAACTCATAAACTGCATAAATATGTTAATTGTAGTGCTCTCTACATATCCTGGTCATTTTTTTTGACATTTTAGAGCAAATTAAGATAAAATCTCACTTTTGAGCCTAAAAACTTCTGTGTGGCGCCCTCTCAACCTTTTCGATGGTACTACATTTGAATTTGGTCCTGGCCTCTCCATTGACTCTGTAATACTGTGTGACGTGCGTCTCTGTCTGCGTCAGTGATATAAACCCATTCAACTCTCACACACGCCCCAGTTGTAGGTTGGAGCATTCTGGCGACATCTAGTGGATTAAAATTAAATTACACGAGTTGACCTTCACTGCTGCTGAGATTATTCTGTGGCTTAGGTTCAGGTGTGTAGCTTTACAATTATCTTAGTGTGTAAACACGGGTGGAATGAGACTTTTTGGTGTGTAAACTGTTGCTTTAAAGAACTTCTCACCCCCGCTCCTCGAGGCTTACGTCACTCACAGCCTTCGCGGCTGCGCCAATGTTGGCGCCAGATTCAAAATTCAAGTGTAGTAAATACAGGTCGCCTGCAGATGGCGCCTAAGGAGACAGTTTTAGGCAGAAAGTTGATCTTTCAACTAATTTGCACTAAAGTGACAAAGTTATGACCAGGATAGGTACACAACACTATACACTCATTTATACCGTTTATCAGTAAAAAAAAAGTGGATTTGAGGGTGAGTTGTCCTTTAAGATCAGCTTTTTCAGTGAAAGCAAAAGTAGAAGCCCTCGTACTCAGCCAACCAGCTCTCGGTTTGAAAAAGATAAAATGTGTTTTAGCAAGATACAGCCAGTAGGATGTGGTCTGATTTGTTCACAACTTGTCACTGTTATCGGCCTAAGACTCTTTCTGTTGTCATTATGAAACAAACAAACACAAAGTTAGCGACTCCAGCTTTAAATAACTAATTATGTCGAATGCATTTCTGGCCTGGTGAGTGACTGGACTAAAATATGAGTTGATCTGGTGGCGTAGAACCGTTTTCTTCTGTCAGATTACAATGCACTCACTCAGTCTTAATAAAATATGTCCTTCTCACTCTGCAGGATGTGAGAAGCACAAGTGACAGCTGTAAACAATGCAATCTGAAATATAGATGTTATCGTTGTGTGTGACAGTTATTATCAAAGCCACAGAGCGGCGGGGCGAGAAAAACTCATGCATTCTTCAGGTAGACCGCAGGTTTTTGTACAGTAGCCTACTTTTCAATTATTTTAGAGAATTTAAAAGAAGAATGATTGATTTGTTTCCCTACTTCTACTTTTACCTGTAATCCCACCACTTTCACCATTACTAGTACGACACTTGAAAATAATCTAGAGTATTTTAAAGATAATATTTAATCTTCCATTTATACTTGTCCTGCCTAATAAGGCTGATTAAAAGCAAATTAAGAATCATTGCAAGTTTTGTACATGGTTTAGTGGTAGGGAAATATCTGAGAACCTGGAAGAAACTGTTGGAGACATGGAGAGAACATGCAAACTCCACTCAGGCTGGCCCTTTTTCTGAGTTTGATTTGAGCAAGAGCGCTAACCACTCAGATAATGTGCCTCCCAATCCTTCAGTTGTATTGTATGCAGATAAATAGAACCAGGATAGAACATTAAAATGGCTTTCAGAAGGTGAGTTTGTTAATATAAAGATAAATACATGAAGAATGCTGTGGGTTTGTTTAAAAAAAATCTCTTTTTAAATTAGAAAATGTTTTCTTAATTTGGTGGGACCCTTGATACACCGTAAAATGCAACTCAAAAATGTTGAAGTAGTTTGCAGAGCGTCAATTAGTAGTAAGTTGTAGCTTAACATTTCTAGATGATATTTATATTTTAATAACAATGTCTTTTTATCTTCCCTTTTTTAAATTTAGTTCATTCAGAATGCCATGTGAATGTGTGTATGTTTTAAACCTGTGTCCTGTCTTGTTCAAAATGTTTGTAAAGTGATGCCGAACTTAGTTTTACTGCTGCAAAACGAACCAAAATCTATAGATACAAATACACGTATAGGGAGGTCAGACAGCTGCCCCCAGCAATGGATGAAGCGGAAGAAAATGAATGGATGAGTACACATTAAGTCACCTGAACCCGAACCTCCTCCAATAGGCACAAAAGACGTACCATAAAATGTGAAATTAGCTCCAGTTTGACATCATATTTAGTAATGAGCGGATTCAACTATTAAAAAAAATATACAAATAGATCTGTCTTTTTCTTTTCTTTTTTTCCCACAAGTGCAACAGGTCTGCGCGGAGAGGAAGGACGTGCGCTGTTTTAATCTGGGTAATGAATAAGCACATGCAGAGGGTAATGGAAGCTGCTCTGTTGCTGAATAATTGAGAGTCTGAGGAACAGGAGAGGAGCAGGTGGATCAGATGGAGCTCTGCGTGTCATCCCCTGCTCCTCTGACCTCAGCTCACAGAGACCAGCCCTGGGGAAAAGAGCACCGCTAAAAACCCCGCTCTGTGCTCTGGAGAAAGGCAATAATTCAATTCGTTGTTGTCTAAATCGCAACAATGGTTTTCTCTGAGGACTTGACAAAACCGTTGAATAAAAAAACATATATAGAGACATTGGTCCAAAAGGCGCAGATATGAACTACTAATAAGACCATATAGTATCTCTTTTGAAAATAACAATAATTCATTTTATTTCCTTTTACGCCAACCAATATATTAAAAACATCACACGCAATATTAAAAGTACAGAATAGAAGGCATTTAAAAATTACAAAAAATAAGCCAGTTTAAAAAGGTAGGTTTTGAGATGTGTTTTGAAAATGTCCAGAGGTGAATTGGTCGAGTGTTCCAGAGTTTGGGAGAAGAGTGGCTGAAAACTCTGGCCCCAAAGTTACTACATCAGTCGTGGTGAAGAAAGGAAGCAAAATTAGCAAATCAAACGCATAATATATTGCAAGGGAGGAGATTAGAAAGACTTTTTTGAATTCTACATAATAATATTTAATGGGAATGACTTTCGGTGTTGATGAAGGCTGCAGTTTTATGTCTGTTGAAGTTTTTGCTTGCCATATGATTGTTCTCAATGAAAAAGGTTGGGGAACCCTGATATAATACAAAATAGAGAAATGCATAATGATATAGACCTAATATATAATTGCAAAACAAAAATGAAAGTCTATGCTTCAATCAGAAGGATAACACGTTGTTATCTGGACCACACAAAACAGAGCAACAGACACAGAAAAGAAAAACAATGACTTCACATTTTCATCAATGTGAGTCTCAGATAAAGAGATAATAATTTGATGATATTTGGGAGTTTGTGAATCTATGATCAGTCAAAATAGATTGTCCTTGGTTATGTTGATGCTGGTACGATTAGTTCAAAACGTATGTATATTACAACTGTCCTGGATTTTGCATTAAGCTTGAGGCTGGTTACTTTGACAGATCCATCATAAGCCTGAAGAATAACTCATCACATTTACCCTGATACAGGCTGCATGTTTATTCTTTGTCTAGTTTCAGCACCGCGGAGAGAGCAGAGCGGACTCCAGGCTCTGTCCATGGTGCTGAACCCGCTGCACGCTCTGCTCCCTGTCCTTACATCTCCAATGCACAGACCAATACTGGACTTGTTTGGGTTCTTGAAGCAAGAGTTAAAGACATGTGAAGTGCCGTCACAATGTAAGGATACAATGCTGATTAAAAGTTCAGGAAAGACAGAAGCCATGAATAGAGTTCTAACGACTGAGCTGCACTTGACGCTTGCGCAGAGGCCCACACACTTTGGCTCCTGTAAACTGAGCGGGGGTGAGGGGGGAGGGGGTAGGGTGCCGAGGCGCTGTCCCGCCACGGCAGCAGCTCATTGTCGGTGACCGGAGTCACGCGCAGGACGTGGGACAGTGTCGCCGTGCGTACACGTGCCTGGGGCCTTGGTGCGCGTGCTGTTGCAGGAGGATCCCGGAGGATCCCCGGAGGACCCGGAGGACCATGATGACCATGAACGGAAAACAGCACTTCAGCATGCACCCGGCCCTGCACGAGCCCAAGTACCCCGGGCTGCACGCGGGCGCGGAGGGCATGCGCAGAGTGTGTGTGTCCGGGCCACAGGTACGTGACCGCTGTGATCCCGTGTGACAGGTCCGAGTCTGACGCGGGGGTCTGGACGTGTTCTGACTTCAAGATACGTGCGGACTCCCCGTGACCCGGTGAAGAAGAGCAGTTTAGACTTTGTTGTCGTGAAAAATCTCTCTCTCCTCTGTGTCTGTGCCCCCTCCCTCTCATACATGTCAATTCAAGCAATGCTCTTGCTTCATATTAATTTTTATGACCTGCGCTTTGAGGAGCCCCTCTGCGCTCTCTTTGGAAAAAAATGTTTTTAAGCTGGTGAGCGCGGGCTGCTGACACTATTCCCCACTGACTTGCAGTATGCTCTCTCCTCTCGCTTGCAGCTGCAGGGGAATATATTCGGAGGCTTTGATGAGAGCCTGCTGGCGCGGGCAGAGGCTTTGGCGGCGGCTGACAGCATCGTCTCTCACGGCAAGAGCCACGCGTTCAAAGCAGACGTGACTTACCATACCATGAGCAGTGTCCCCTGCACCTCAGCCCCCTCCTCCAGCACCGTGCCCATCTCCCACCACCACCACTCTCACGTGGGTCAGGGCCTGGAGGCCGGGGACCTGCTGGAGCACCTCTCCAACAGCCTGATGGGAGCACCGGAGCCCCCCCAACACCACCACCACCACCACCTGCAAACCATGGGCCAGCTGCACCAGGCCATGGCGTCCATGGCGCACCCGCACTCTCTCTCTGTGCACGCAGGCATGGTCAGCGACGTGGAGTCGGATCCCAGGGAGCTGGAGGCGTTTGCGGAGCGCTTCAAACAGCGCAGGATCAAACTTGGAGTGACACAGGCGGATGTGGGCTCAGCTCTGGCCAACCTGAAGATCCCGGGAGTGGGCTCTCTCAGCCAGAGCACCATCTGCCGCTTCGAGTCCCTGACTCTGTCCCACAACAACATGATCGCGCTGAAGCCCGTGCTGCAGGCCTGGCTGGAGGAGGCGGAGGCAGCTTACCGGGAGAAGAGCAGCAAACCGGACCTTTTCAACGGTAACGAGCGCAAACGGAAACGCACTTCCATCGCGGCGCCAGAGAAGCGCTCTCTGGAGGCGTACTTCGCAATCCAGCCGCGGCCCTCCTCCGAGAAAATCGCAGCCATCGCAGAGAAACTGGACCTGAAAAAGAACGTGGTTCGAGTGTGGTTTTGTAATCAGCGGCAGAAGCAGAAAAGGATGAAATACTCCGCTGCGCACTGACTTCCACACTTCATGAATAAAATAGCCTAATACATTTTTGATCGAGTGATTAATAAAAGCCTATAAGTCACAGGACATTATGAAGCCGCTCCTCCGTCTGGACTGGAGCTTCTCCAAAGGACTTATCTTGTTGCACTTTTGAGTTGTCACAGGGACGATCAGCGGGAGGTGGGTTTTTATCTTGTCCGCACTCTTTCTCTGTCTGTGTTTGGGGAAACACGAGGGCATCGACCACTTTTAAATGCAGTTTATTCTCAGTTGTGTTTATAAAGGATTATGATCGTGTTTGGAAAGGACTGGGACCGTCACTGTGTTTGGACGACAATCAAATATACCCCCAAACCCCTTTACTCTGCGTATAGTGAACTGTAAACATTATTTTACACACAATATCACAGGATTGAACGCACTAAATATAAACAGAATCACACAGATGTCTACGGGGCACATAATCCGTGTGTGGCTGCTGCTATATTTATATGAGTATTTTGATGTGTTTTGGAGCTCTACAGCCCAGATACGATACACCAATTTAGTCTATTATAATATTTATTTTTCTTCACTGTTGTATACTTGAAAATGTGTGGAATTCTTAATAAATAATTTGTTATTTTCTAAGCATTGATTACTTGAGTATCTCTATAGACACATGCTTTTTGACAGCAGTTATAACGGGAAACTTTTTTTAAACCATTTTATGTACATTCTTTATTCTTTCTCTGATTCTTTAGCAATCCTAATGCCTCTGTTTCATCCACACACACTTTAATTCTCAGTCGGTATAAAATATTCTCCGTTATTCATGATACAAGCTCCATTGAAAAACAAGGCCTGCATGGCTCAAACCCGCCTATACGCGCGCCTGTAAATGGTTCTTTCCTGGTTAATTAGCCTGCTGTAAATTATGGATGCCCCCGTGTCACTGGCTTACAGGGGGGGTTCCAATTATTAAGTCATGACAATGCAATATTAATTCTAAATTGGTATAAAACAGAGAAATGCGAAGGAGGAGCTATAGTCAAAGTCTGCAGCGGAGAAGCGTGCGCGCGCGGAGCCTCTGGGAAAAGACACAAAACTGGCCTCACATAAACTTTTTCCAACCATTTTTAAAAGTAAGTATTATTTTTATGCACTTAGAATTATGTCCTATTTGTACATGACATGTGGTTGCATTTGTGCTATGTGTGCATTTACGCAATAGTTTATTCTATGACTGAAAGTTTTCAACAAGTTGCATTTAGTCCTCAATATGTTTTGTTATTGGCTGTAAATATACAAGGATTTGCTCAATAAGGGGTGAAACTTTTTTTATGGCACTATAATATACCTGGAAATTCACAAAACAACTTTTTAAGGGGACATTGTAAGTCTTTTCAAATATTTGTTCGAATGGCACGTGAAAGGGACTATTTAAGTTTATACGATTATTATAACACTTTCTCATGATTTAGGTCTACTTTTTCTCGCATATGTCTTGATCTTTTTTAGACTATATGGAAGGTAGCAGTGAATGACGTTATCAAATAAGATTTTGTGGAAATAGCCTAATTAGTGGATGTGCCTGGAGCTCCGTGCGGGCCCGGGGGTGTGTGCTCTTCCCATTGAGACCGTCAGAGGAACCAGGACTTTACAAATGTACAAGGAAAACATTTGTGTAGATTTTCATATTCTCTTTGAAGTCGGGCAAGAATAATTACCCCGAATATTAATGGTGTTAAAAGTGAGAATTGTTACTGTACTGTACAAAAGAAAACTGTGGCATTTCTGTAACGGGATTTTGTTTCATCAAGAAGGAAAAAAAGTGCCATTACGGGGAAAAATACATCTAAAAGGCTTATACGATTTTCCTTCATCGAGTAGTTTTGTGAAAAGATAGATATATTTTAATGTCATACAAATTAAGTTACATCCCTTTTAATTTACTGCCGACAACAAAGTATTTATATCTGTTTTCCCAAATGGACTTTTCATAATCAAGCAATAAATACATATAAAAAACCGGAACGGGTTAAGACGATAAATTATATTATTTTTAAAACACGCACATACACACAAAAATACATGAAAAAAGTAAGACAACAGCAAAAATAGTATTTGTGAGGTGGATTGCAGGGCCTATCTTAAATTAAAGCCTGCAGGGTGTCTTACTAACTTATTTGTTGTCTAGAAATCGTCTATAAGTTATTACATTTAACAATCACTAATAATAATACAAAATATCCTTTTTTCGTGTTGTAATACTATTTTTGGTCTATATAAATAATATATTGTGGTTGTTGAATGATTCTGAACTTTATGTATTCACGATTTTTAAGCTGTTAAAATACACATGGCTTTTTCTTTAAATTCAACACAAAACAGACCATTGTCTTTAGATAGTACTTTCCCATCCCAGAGAGAGAGAGAGAGAGAAGAAGAAGACGAAGAAGGTCCTTTATGAGAGAGAGAAAGAGAAAGAGAAAGAGAGAGAGAGAGAGAGAGAGAGAGAGAGAGAGAGAGAGAGAGAGAGAGAGAACACACATTTTTACTTAACGTTTCTCTCATAACCCCGTAAATAGAAGTCAATAGAAAACTTGTAGTCACGTGGACATACGTCATCTACACGTGGACAGTTCCTTATAATTCAGGTTCCTCAGAATGAAACTTCATGTAAAGCTCGTACCACCCCAGACGCGCGCACGGTTCGGGGTAAGTTGAGCTGAAGCGTTCGCAGCATGTGGTGACTGCAGGACGTTCATTATTCAGGAGGCTCTGAGCAGACTGGATATGCACCAGCAATAACACAGACGTCTGGGTTCAGGAGGACGCTACAGTTTGGAATGGTCTCAGAATATTGGGGCAAGAACGCTGGTAAAGGAAAGAAAAGAAACAAAGATATTTTTATTATATTTGTATTTATTATAATTAGTCCTATTCTACAACAGTCGTCTTTGCAGGAGATAAGATGGATTTTCTAATAGTCTAATAATAATAATGGTCACACTTTAGTTTAGTCCTTTCTAATTAACAGCTAAATAAGTGCTGTTAATTAATGAGGGATAATCTAAAGTGTGACTATTGTTTTGGTAAATCAACAATTCATCAAAATAGTCCAGATGAAGAGTTGAAAAGCAGTCAATAAAAAAATGTATATATATTTTTTTGCCTATATAGGCCCAAATCACTCTCACTTTCAATCTTTATATCCATACAAAAATTACAAGTCAAATTGAGTGTAATGAGTCTATTACTCATGGTGTAATATTTTAAGTTGAATTTCTGAAATAAATGAAATTTTGAACGATTGTATCTATAACACCTCACAATCTTTCATTTAAATTTCATTCTATTCATTCATTTGAGCCAAAATATTGTTACATTCATACATTGATTCTATTTTCTGCACTGTACACACACACACACACACACACACACATAAGCACAAGCAAAAACCATGCCTTTATAACTCAAATGATAATACAAATGACCTGCTGCATGAAGTATAAGAAAAATCAGCATTTATTGTATTAAACGATATGACTTTTACTTCTAAAAAACCTCGCAACATTAGAAAGCTATGGGCAACACCACGGCAACTGTTTCTCCTGGAGCCTTTGTGACAGAATGGGGGTAGAAGCTGTGGCTGATTGCTCTGGAATACATGTATGTACATCTGAACACACTTTAGCTCACACAAATATTCTGTCCACACATGAGAGAGAGAGAGAGAGAGAGAGAGAGAGAGAGAGAGAGAGAGAGAGAGAGAGAGAGAGAGAGAGAGAGAGAGAGAGAGAGAGAGAGAGAGAGAGAGAGAGAGAGAGAGAGAGAGAGAGAGGGAGGGGGTTTGGGAACGTACGGCGGAGAGGCAGGAGCCGAGAAGACACCCGGAGTTTTAATAATTCATCTCATGCCAGCAGCAACAAATGAGAATGTGACCGAAGCGAAAAGAGACAGCTACCTCTGCTCTTTCTGTTCGTCAAATCAGATCAGTGTCAAAACCGGCGGTGCTTATGGCCCCACAGCAGACCCACCGTGAAAAGACAGATTAGAAGTACTTTAAATTGAGATGGTGATTTTAATGGACTATTAAAAGATCAATCCCAGTTGAGTGCAAAAGATTTTCTCTCTTCCCTTTGTTTTATCAGAGATCAAAAGTCATTGCTGTCAATTAATGAAAACATTGATTAGCCTTACTGTCTGTTAATTAACTTTCTCTTAAGTTAACTTACAAAGGTCATTGAGCTTCTCCCTGTATAAACAAAACCACAAAATAAAATATTATAAAAAGGGAAGAATTGTTAGAATGGGGTAAGAAAAACAATATAATCAACGGCCTGTATACTAATAAATCACAATATAAATCGAAATATATCCTCTTGTAATGGTAGAATATTGTTAACCAGAAAAACAGCGAGGCGGTGAGGCCCTGTAGTTTTGGCCTCTGATTACTCATTTACCTTTACCCTTTAAGTCACCTTTGGATTGGTCAAATGATGTTGAAAGTGAAATAGTATCTGCAGCTTGTGTACACACAGTGAAGTATGAAGGGTAAAAAGACTTTCCACCTATACAGTATAACTTTAAGCTAGGAGTAGATTTACTTACTATATTTTTCTCCCAATTTGAAAAGGATGTCATTGTAAAGAATGTCATTTCACCCGAAAAAATTGCTAAAACCAATACGGCATAGAACTGATCTAAGTGTGATGTCATCGGGGTGCAATGATGTCAACCTACGACAGAAGGGGCGGAGCTACAAGTTTGTATCGGACGTTCCAGATAAAAGCGTGGATGGATCTAAAAACAACTCTAGGTCTGTTTTTTATGGAGAGCAATGTTGTAACCTGGGTAACAGAGAGAAAAAGGCAACTTGAACAGTTTATTCCACCCCTGATTAATGTAGTAATCAGCACAAATATGATCTTATTTTTTTGCAGTGATCGTTTAGAAGAGGACTATTGGGTTCTGGAAACTCGAGTCTCTGGATGTGAGTCAGTGGTGGAGCCTCCTTGTCCTGTCTC